CGGGTGTGCAAGGCCCCCGTGTGCCCAGGGCTTGGGCAAGGGGTTGCAGCCGTCGGAGTCCAACGTGTCCCTGGATTGCCGTCAGGCTTCGGGCCACGTGCAGCGCTTGGCAGGCGTCGGGGCCCAGGAGTGGCTGGGGAGAGGGGGGGGGGGACTTACCTTCTCCCCCTCCGCCCCTGCTGCTGCCACTTCGGTTACTCCGCTTCTCCCGCCAGAGACGCGCACCCTTGCGCCACGTGGGAAGCACTTTATCGCGGCTTGGGCAACCGCTGGCCGCACAGTTGCTGGGCCCAACACTTCCCAGGAGGCTCCCGATGCTGACCTGTCAGGCTTCATCCTTGACAGGTGTAGGGCATCCATCAGAGGATGTTCCAGTTTTCTGCTACTCTGTCCTCTGTTGCTACAAAACCCAATGCCTTTATGCCCTCTGTTTTCCTCTTCAAGAGGAAAATAGAGATGTCAAAGCATCCAGCTTTGTATCAATAGAGGACAGAGGACAACCGGACTGTCTTCTATGATGGCCACCCTAGACAGGTGTCAGGAAGGAAACAAGGGCACTTTACATGTGCTTTGGGGGTGGCACTTTAAAGCACTGCCATGTCTTGTGTCTCAGCGTCCCCATGCTTAAAAACAGCAGTGGGGGCACTTGAACTAAAGCTCATTGAATTAACTTTAGTTCAAGCACCCCCACCACCATTTTTAGGTGCGGGGACACTGATGCAGGAGATTCAGGAGGCTGCTGGAGCACGGCAATTAATCAAGCCCACTCCGACTCATAGACTGTAAGGCGCCGGAAGAGACTTTGGAAGATCATCAGGTCCAGCCCCCTGCACCAAGCAGGAAACACAACTGGGGTCAAGTGACCACAGCAAGGTGGCTGTCTAGTCTCCTCTTGAAGATTTCCAGGTTAAGTGGTTGCACCACCTGACTCAATCCAATTAATTGAGTCTGCTCCAACTGCCTTGGCACTCATGTATAGGTGCCCCAAGTGGCTAGAAACAGGAGAGCGTATTTTCTTCCCCTGCCAGCCACTGCTGCCGCTGCAGTTTCTCTACCTCTTTCAGAAACAGCTTAAAGCAGGACCAAGTTACTCTTCAGCCTGGCAAGCACTTTGATCAAGCAGCAGTTGACCTCTAAACTGTGCCCCTTCCCCTCCTCATCTCCAAGGCTTACCAGTTCTGCATGCTTCTTCGGCTCCCTCATTGGC